AGGGGGGGGGGGGGGGGGGTAGAGGCGAAAAGCACCAATTCCAATCGCCGCTTTCAGCAAGCACAGTGAGTGCTGACGAAATGCAGCCGGCATCACCCAGTCTGGATTGAAAAGTGTCGAGGCTTGATATTTAGTTCGGAAGGGGAAGGGGGGCAGGAAGACAAGACACGAGAGGTACGAAGACGCAACTGCTTTTCTAGTCATTCGTTTGTTCTTGTCGCTCGTGCGTAGGACCGGGGCTTGGGGGTTGTGGACGCTGCCGGGGGGTTGTATTGCCGTAAGGATGCGAGAGAACGCACGGGGGTGTCAGCATTTTGCGTAGGGTGATTACTGCACAACCAGGAGGGTATTTACCACTGACGGCAAGGGTGGTTTCGGAAATTTCACGTCAAGGGCTTTCCTGGGAGGTATCGGTTAGTGTTCCCACCCTCCTGGTTGCGGAGCAATCCGGCTTTGGAAAACCGCAACACCCCCGTGCGTTCTGCCGCGTCCTTACGGTATTATGGAGTAGCAACAAACAGAGAACCATGGTTTAGCAACAATCAGAGAACCATGGTTTAGGAGGAGGCAAGATTTTCGTCTTAGCACGTAGCACTCTTCGATTTGATGGGGGACTCGCGGAGCGAGGAGAACGAAATGAAGGAAGGAAAAATGGGAACAAGCGGACAAGCGCAGCCTATTGATAGCGTAGGTAAGGGAAGTTTGTACGCAGAAAACAGCCCGCGGTACATCCGCAAACAGAGAGCTACCACGTGTCTGTGCGTCCGGGCAAGACGATCTCGACCGACATGCACGCACGCATACACGACACCGTAAAGTAACCAACCCCAACACGTTGCCGCGCATCCCCCACCCCTACCCCCCATCCTCCGCCCCAAACAACCCACAGCGAGACAAGAGAAGTTGGGCGTATTTCTGCGAAAGCGGACGACTCTAGCCATGGAGGCATTTCTGTGCACGGTGGCGGCGTGCATCCTGGTTGCCCTGAGCCAGATGCTGCCGCCCTACAGCCGCGGTCCCACGGTGACAGACGCCGGCGCGGGGGGCGGCGGCGGGGCGTGCTATATGATGATGGAGTGGAAGTTCCTCCTCCCCTTCTGCGTCCTCCAGACGGTGATCTTCGGCGTGCTCGGGTGCAAGCTTGCGAACGTGGACGACCTGCTGAACATCTCCAGCGAGCTGCGGGTGAACTTCATGCTGTACCTGCTCTTCTGCTTCCCGTACTTTGTGCTCACGCTGCACTACCGTTACC